TCGGACCGATTACGCGCGACTCGTACCACTGTTGTAGGTCCGTTGTAATAAACAGTTCATAGTTTTTTGTATTTATGCTTTTATTCGCACGTTTATCACCCACCACAAACTCCCCGTTGAACGCGGTATTCACCTTTACACAATTATAGCGCTTGATAGCGTCTCGCACGTGCTCGACCACTACATCGCGAGCGTCCTCGAGAAATTTCCGCGGCTCGATGTACTCCACGTTAATCACCACACCGGTAAGCACACGGTTGTCAAACACGGTGTCGATCTCGCGCCACGACAGTTGCGCTCTCGAAGAAGGTCCGACACTCGCGTAATCATCGCCACCACCACCGAAATGTACGAATCGTCGTTCCAGTTGTTTTTTTACTCCCTCGAGTCGCGCGATTTGCGCCACCAGATCTTGATCCATGTTGTCGCACTAACGTCTTTTTCACAAAAGTCTGATGCAATCCACATACACTTTATGCTGTACAAATTGGGCACATATTACATGAGAAAACAATATACAGTCGCGCATCACATCTTGTACAGTTGTTAGACTGTATCGCGTTTATCTAACCCAGGAGCTCTTACGGGAGCGCGGGGCGAGGGGGGGCTCGGTTGCGGGCGCGGGGATATGGAAAAGGGAAGGGAGGGGATATTTTTGAACGTGTCTGCGCACAAAATATTATCTTTATGACCCTTGACCATGTTTTCTCTTTTGAAATGTGGGATTATAAGCTTAGCTAATATATATTTTTACCCCCTCTTTGTCTTTTTCGACCCAGACCCTTGACCATGTTTTCTCTTATCACCTAAGTATGACAGTTTGAAAGAAAACTGGTTCCCCCCCTCTTTCCAATACCGTTTAGAGGGGATGAAAGGATTTAAAATCTATCCACGCATCAAGACGAACCGTAATATTTCTCCTTCTCTCGACGTGTCCAAACGAGTCTCGACGTGTCCAAACAAGTCTCGACATGTCCATACCAACGTTTGTGGACCTGCAAGGTTCTATCGTTGGCAGAAACTTTTATGTAAAAGAGTTTGCCTCTCTCAGAGAAGGATGTGTTCTCTCTCACTACATTTTCACATGTCCCGTACCATGGAAATGCCTCACCAAAACGGAGCAACACCAAACATCCTGGTTGATTTCAAATCGTCACGGAGTACGATGGGAAGACGGAGTGATTCCATACAGCAGAGCTCGAAGTTTAATTACAGCAGCTGTGGTTGGTACGGAGGAGGAAGAGGTGGAGGATGAAGATGACTGTGATGGCGAGACGAGATTTTCTCTCGTATATGTTAAGGGATTTGAAAAACGAGAATGGCTGCGGAGGTTACTCCTGGACGATGCGCGAGAAAATGTTTATATCGAAACTATCGACGCACACTACGAAGACATACAATCTCTAAATAAGTTGGACGTTGCGCACACTGTGCGTTGCCATAGACATGAAGCGAATTGTGCTTTACAAAATGTTTTTAAACTTTACAATTGGTGGTCCAAGCATGAGAAATAAATATGTAACAACTTATGTTTTTTTTACAAAATAAATATATTTCTATCAATATTGCATTAATTTCTTTTTCCACACGTATCCTATACTTCTTTCCGTTTGTGCACTCTCCCTTCCACAGCATATTTTTAAATTTATTCATATCTCGATCTTATACTCGTATGTATGGGTAGGAAGCAGAAGAAAAATGTTAGTGGATGAAAATTTTATTTATTATACAATTATTAATTTTTTTCGTTCCTCACCTCGTTTTAAGGTTTCAGCAATAAGTTCATCTACAGCATAAACTATTAATTCACAATCTATGACAGAAGTTTTATAATATACCTCGTACAGTATACCAATTGCATTATCTCTTTCGGCACTGGTCATATTACTTTGCAAACAACACACAAATTGATCGAAGCTTTCGTTTACAGCTTCTATATCCTCCGACAGTTTGCGATATACATGTTCTACACAATGTTCGAGTTTGAGTAAAAATAATACAGTTGACATGTTCATGTACATGCAAGTGTCATCTAACGTTAATTTTACAACTTTTTATTGTACATTCTAACAAGTTCTAAAACTAAATTGTCAATCTGTACCGATGATGCGTCTGTTGACTTGAAGAGCTGCTCTATTTCGGAACGTTTCTTGTTAAATTCCATCCACGTTGAATAATCCAACACTATTATTTCCACGATTGTCGCCGAGAATGAATTCCACATAGGATGCATCAGGTACCACGCAGATTCCAACATCCAAGTATTTGTACGCAGTAGATGTCAGGGCAAATCTCCTGCTCATGATACGAGGCGTGCAACGAGGTTTATCAAAACTGAAAGAATACATAAAGTAAAATAAATACAAGTAAATCACGAAAAGTATGAACAAATATACAATAATTTTAGGGTACTTATGCATCATGCTGTTTCTTGCACGAAACAGTTTCATGTCGAGAAACGGATGGTGTATAACTTTGAGGAACGGATGGCGTATAACTGCTTCGAGGAACATACGGCGTGTAACGCCGATTGCTAAAACTGTTTGAAAAATACAATTAAAT